GACACTGCAACCCAGATTTGAGAAGATCTACAGAAAAAAGGAGGCTCACTACAGCCACTGAAAAGATAGGAGGATTAAAGTACAAAGAAAAAAGTTAAATATTGTTACAAATAAAAAAAAAGAAATATGTTTAAAATAACACAGACAACAAAGAATCCTCAGCTTTGTTGTTTGGGGGGCGTGGAAATTTTATTGTAATCCAAAGGGGGGCCCAGAAGAAAATCTTTGGGAACCACTGTTATAGATCATTTAATCTCAATTTTAATTTTGATGGAAAAAATATCATCATGATATTATGGCGATGATGAAAACAAAGAGAAAAAAGGAGTGAAAACAAAAAAATCAAAAACTCAAACTGCGTTAGCTTCAACCTCTGAGGATCATCAGGACACAGATCAGCTTCTCTCCTTCACTAAGATCAGAACCTCCATGTCCTGCAGAGAGAAAAAGGATGAACAGAGGAGATCAGTGAGTGTTTCAAGCCTCTCTCTCTCTATCAGCTGTCAGTCAGTGATGCAGCACATCCAGGATAAAGAGCAGCAGGGACTTCAGTCCTGGTCTGGCTCCTCTGATTGGCTGATTGGTGTCTCTGTGTCCAATCAGGAAGTCTGTCACTGTTCTCATCCCACTGAGAAGCTGCAGCTTTACTGGAAACACTGGATCTTTGCTTTAATACTACCTAGGTTTAGAACAATCCTGCTGACAGCAGCTGGACTCACTCACAACCATCTACTTACAGAGTCTGCAGTTTGTAGTCTGGACTCTCTTTAAGATCCTGCAGCTGCTGAACATCTGACTCCTCCAGGTTGCTGCCCCACAGGACCAGTTCAGTCAGATGGGAGGGGTTTGACTTCAGAGCTGAGACCAGAAAAGCACAGCTGATCTTTGACAAACCGCAGCTACACAACCTGGATAAAGAATAGAAAGATGTGAGCTGATCCAACAGGATGCAGGTTAGAACAGTCCAACAGAGGCAGTAAAAGGGCTCTCTGTCATGGTTTTGGTTATGTTGCGCTTTACTTTGCTCCTTGTTTTCTAGTATTATTGGTTTATTGGTTCCTATTTTGTTGTAGTTTCTAGGTTTATATTAGTTCTCAGGTTTTTCCGTTGTTTTCCTCTGTTGCCCTCTTATTCTTATATATTCATGTCAGCTCGTTAGCCCTGCCATTGTCTCAGTCAGCTACTTGTATGCTCTGTTCGAAAACCTAGGACACGTCCTTAGAAGGCCAGATTCGAAGTACGATTATGTCATATGTCATTATGTCATAGCGCCGAGGTCTGGTCGGATTTCAAGAGTCCTCGTTATGCGGCCTTAAAATGCATCCTTCTTTTTGCCTGATTTGAAGGACGGGTCCGATGTATCCTCAGTATCCTTGGTTTACCCAGGATTCATTGCGAGACCAAGCAAGCTGTGATCAGAGGAAAGGCTACTTGGCGCCGAACAGTGGTGAAAATTGGAAGTTCAGTTTAATATAATACAAGTCAGTGAATAGCTCCATCTGAGATGAATGAAAATAGTTGTTTTAATGGTTATTGAGGCAGATATGTGGCGGTAATGTTTGATTTCCAAAGGTTTTTATCTGTTACTGTGTAAATGAGTTTGGCTGTAATTTAAGGACAGATTCTAATATATCTGCATTGTGAGGACTATAAATCTGATAGGATTTTTATCTTTTTATTGCTGTTTTGCACAATATGCTTAACTAAGACTTTTTTTTTGTTGAGCTTAACTAAGATTTTTTTGTTATTGAATATCAGAGATTTTGCTGACATTTTTTAATACATACATTGTTTAGATTTACTTATATCTTTCTAGAATAGAAAATCCCTTTATTGTCCCACAATGGACAGATTTACAGCAGTAGAAAGATTATTGAAAATGGTCACACAAATGAGGACCTTAGAAAAATGTATAGGAATAACATAATAGAGAAGAGTTAAAAACAATACAATTCTGTAAAGTGCTTTAACAATATAAAACTGGAGAATAAATAACCAACAGTGTTGGGCAAGCTACATGTCCAGTGTAGTGAGCTAAGCTATCAGTTACTCAACAATAAATTAAGCTTCACTACACAAAAGCTATCACCTAAAGAATTATAGCAAGCTAAGTTACACTAATGTGTTAACAGTAGCTTAACTACATCAGAAGCTACTTAACGTTGTACCAAGCTAATGTCAATTCAAAGTGAGTCTGACACACTGGTTAAAATATTTATTAAAGATCAGCCAATGACATAACGCAGTGTAAACATTGCTTTATGATCAGCAT